TGATCTGTTTCTCTAAGCCCAAGGAGGGCTCTGAAACACCCGTTGCATTTGTTCTCTTTAGGAATGAAGGTGAATCCTTTGGCAGAGACCCAGTGGAAGTGTCAAAGATGGTCACTTCCTGCAGTACCATGGGTGAATGCTGCCAGGGGCTCTTTTCCTGCAGGTCATTATTTCAGAATCAGGTAGAAGACTCTATTTCTTTCCTCCTGCCTTTCCTGCTTCTCTGTCAGCCTCTTCTAGGAAATACTTGGCACTTGGCAAGTTGGTTTGGCTTTGCACATCAACCTTCCTATTTGAAGCTACATACTCTCAAAATGGTGGATGAGAAGGAGAGAGGGTGAGCAAAATTACACATATACCTACCCTTTTGTAGAGCTGGTCTCAGGCTAAGATGAAGGACATGGGATGTTTGAGACCTCCTGAGTGCCTCCTGCATTCTTTTCCTATGGTGTCATTTCCTTTCAGCAGTGTATTCAACTCACCTGGGTGTGTTCACAGGTAGTCAGACCAGTATTGTGAAAGAGAAATTACACACTTAACCTTGGCAATAATCAACTCCCATAGCTTGTTTGTACCTCTTTGTCATGCATTTATTGTCCCTTGTTTGCTCACTTCTAAGGAAATTCTTTCTGGCATTTTTTCAGGTTTTCATGAATCTGAGCAAGTGCAGAATTAAATCGCGAGGCTCAGATGCAGAGCAGGGATTAGTTGCTTTCTTTCCTTGGCAGTTCACCTGTACAAACATGTATTGGGGATGGGTGGAGCTCACTGGTAATGATAGCGGCTTAGAAACATAATAAACAGGTTTTGTGTAGTGTTTCTTGCTAAGAGCCTGCTTGAATAACCCCTAATCCTGTCTTCCAGACTGATAACCTTCTTGTCCTCAGCAGGGCAAGGAGAACTGGGTGAATTGCTCTGCTCTTTGTGTAATGAGTGCTGAGCTCTGCAAAAAGGTAACTGGTATCTATCTCCCCATGCCAATACATGTCAGGGCAAATAACCCCAAGAACAAGCCTGGCTATTTAACTGTTGTGCTCCTTGACAAAAAATGGTGAAAGCCATCATCTTGAATGCACGAATTCTCTTGATTATATTAATCCTTATTAAAAAGCGTGTCTTTTCCATGGTGACTTCTTTAACTAGGGCCTCTTGCTTTGTGTGTCTTTTCTGTGTAGACACTGTGCTTTGCAAAACATTGGTGCCTGCTTAGCAAAACACTGCTTGCCAGATAAAAAGAAGCAATTCACAGCTATTGAGTGTTACTGAATCATGTTGGAGTGAGGCTTGATATTTGTGATTTTTAACAAAAAAAAAAAAAAAAAAAAAAAAAAAAAAAAAAAAAAAAAAAAAAAAAAAAAAAAAAAGAAAAGCGGAATGTCACACATCTGGTTCTTTTGTGTACTCAAGAATACTTTTTTTGCCTATTTTGCTTTAGGGGCTATATCAGAAGCCAGATTTGGGTCTGTGTTGAAGCACTCCAAATTGACTTGACTTTACAATCAAGTTCTCCTTATCTTCTGCAGCAGTGAGTTACTTCTCTAAAATTTCCCATAAAAACATTTTAAGAGAGCTCAAATATACTTAGGCTGAAGTGCCAAGGAACAAAGTAAGGTGACATACTAACCCTTTAAACCCAGTGCTTTGCTCCTGTGACATACATACCTTTCTGTAGTTTCTGCGTTCCCTGTATTGGGGGAAAAAATCCCTGGACAGGCTTCTCATTTTCTCCCCTTTGCACTGGCTTCAGTGCGTTTCTCATCTTCAGCTGAGCCACTGAATGCACGAACACAGAAGACAGTACATGCAACAAAATAAGTGGTTAATTTTCTGTAGAGTTAGCATGCTGGAATGGCTCAGTGCAGGGTTCAGTGAGCAGAGAAGTTAACATAAGCAACTGGAAACACTTGAATAGGGATCATGGGAGGAAGGTGTCCAGCATTTAGAGAGCCCTGAAAGTTGAAATTGATTCCTGATGTGCCTGTTGTTGCTACTATCAAAGATGCTATTTTGAGATCTCATTTTCTTGTGTGAACATAGTGGATTTACTGAAACTGCAATCAGGCAGTCCTATACTGTTTTGAAATGCATGTTGCATCAGATGGTATCTTTTTGGTGTCCTAAATAATACTATTTTAATATCATTATTGCTGGTATTTTTCAGACACTGTCAGAGAATTTGGATGACTTGTATCAGTAACCTTCAAGACTAATAACTACAGCTAGTTCTGGTATTTGTTGTGGAGCTAATTACAAAGGTGGATATTAGCTCCCTTTCCTGTGCTGTGCTTCACAGCCCCTTCAATGCCAGCCCAATGCCAGCCCAAAATAGTTTACTGAAATAATCCAGGCTAAAAATAACCTTCTGCAAAAACGTGGCATGAGATAATAATGAGTAGCTGCAGGTAAGTAAGGCTGGCAATTTTTCAAGCTTGCTTTGCTGCTGAAACAGAAGCAGCACGTAACTGCCCCCACAGTAGTCATTCCCATCCATAAGCAGTGCTCAGATGGCTGTGGCAGTCTTTGTGGTGTCTTCACCCAGTGCTTACCGGTGCCCTATAAAAGGTCACTTCTGTGTTACACTTGTCCCCTTACGAGTTCAGTTTAGTTGGTACAACTCTTTTGAAGGCTGCCTGTGAACTGGGTAAAGAAACAGAAATGAATTTTAAAAGCCTATATAGAAATGAAAAGAGATGGGGTTAGTTTAAGTTTTGACCAGTTTCCCAGCTTGACGTGTGGTATTGCAGAAATAGTACTGATGTGAGCTGCTCAGGTTGTCAGTGCTGTAAAGGAAACATCTGTGGAAGCACTGCCTGAGCCTGTGGGGATGTTTGATAAATGAGAAGGTCTTAAATTGCTGGAATCTTATGTAAAACTTAAAAGTATTAAAAGCATACAAGTAAAAGTGGTATACTTGACTGTATTTTTGCCATTTACTGCCTATAAAAGATCTTCTGGCAGCCAAAATGCTGTGCACCCAGTTTTACTTAAGTCTAGCATAAGTGATCTGAACACTTCCAGGGGTGAGGCATCCACAGCTTCTTTGGGCAACCTGTTCCAGTGTCTCACCACCTTCATAGGAAAGAATTTCTTCCTTATATCTAATCTAAACCTACTCTCTTTCAGTTCAAAGCCATTGTCCCTTGTCCTGTCACTATAATTCCTTATAAGAAGTCCCTCTCCAGCTCTCTTGTTGCACCCTTTAGGTACTGGAAGGCTCCCTGGAAGGCTCCCTGGAGCCTTTTCAACTCTCAGCCTGTCTTCCTAAGAGGAGTGCTCCAGCCCTCTGATCATCTTCATGGCCCTGCTCTGGACTCGCTCCAGCAGGTCAGATCAGAAATTAAAAGATAATAAATGCAGTATTTAAATTTTTAGGCTGGAAAAACAGACTTTCACTAAAAACTCTTCTCTCACATCTAAACGGTAATTATTTTGAATTGCTTTTTTAACGAAAAGACACGTTTCTGTAAGTGCTGTAATTACTCTGTGTCCAAATTCTGCACTCAACAAAAGTCACGCTTGCCCTGAGCATGAGTGGTAATTGTCTTCTATCCATGTCTTGGTGACATTGCCTGCTGAATTTTCTCAGGATTTCATGTGTTTGTAACATTCTTAATTTCTGCCCCAAACTGTGCTGTGATGTTTGTGACTGTAAATATGCAGTGCATTGGCTTCAGCTTTGTTTCATTACTGTTTCTATGGATTTGTGTTTGTTTAAAACAGTAAAGATTGACTCAACATATTACTCTGAAAATTATTAACAGTTAGTTTTTAGGCCATTACCTCATGAAGAAACTAGAGCACACTTTGAGAGCATTTAATTTTTTCTCTCAGCATTGCTGAAATACAAAATGCAGCTGTTCAGGAGTGCACGTAATATTTGCTGGCAATACCAGATAAAAACAAACAATCCAGGAGAAACACAATAATGAGAAGAGCTTCATTTTTCTTTTTAATAGAAAAGGCTGTTTGTATCTCTGCATACAGATAAAATAAATACAGATAATAAAAAGTATTAGTATTACAATGAGATAAAGCTGAACATCAGAATTTTGTGAACTGCTCATAACCTCTCAATATTGCTGTTTTCTAGTATTTTCAATTTAGTAATTATTAATATTTTGTGTGTATCTGATTCTCGAGTCATTGTATGTTCCCAAATGCCTATGCTTAATACTTCATTTATATATCTAAAATGTGCAGTGCCCAGTTGATATTCATAGGATACATAAAATGGAAATGTTGTTTTAACATTAATTGCAAATTGTATTGCCTCTTTCATTGTTTTCCACTGCCACATCAGCTTTTTCTGCATCTAGGTTAGATAAGATAAGCACATGGTGGGATGGTCAGTGTAGGTGCTTCTCCTTCAGTTGGTGTCTTGCATGCCTGTTTGTGAGTAAATATAGAAACCAAAATGCTTTTATGCAGATTTTTAGAGACATCTGTGAATAAGGAAATGGCAAGTGATGTTCTTTAATTGAAATACTAAGTAGAAATATCTTAAGCCTCCAGAAGCTGAGCTTTTTTGAGAGGATTGCCTTTATTACTGTTCCTGGTCCAGTTGAATCAGCTGTGACATGCATTTGTTCTGATACCCATCTCTTCTAGAGAAAGGTCTGTTAAGGTTAGAAATCAAATTCTGCTCTATTATACTAAACGAATTGCTTTCTGCTTGTCAGAGGAACTACCTCAAAACAAAAGCAATCCAACTCACAGGGAGTTAAAACATTTTTGTCCTAAGTCATCACGTCTGGCCGAGGAGTGACCTCAGTCTTCTCCTGCTCTGAATCACTGTTGAAAACCCCCATGGTCTAAATAGACTGAGTTATGTTTCAGTCCCAGAAACTGTTTGTCTTTTCATGGGTCCTGGCTAAATGAGTACAACCTTGACATTGTTAGAAAGGGCACACCTACACCCAGGTACTGTAGGTGTAGTAGCAGATTAACCACTCTAACTACTTTCATGTGTGTAATGTTTCTAATCTTGATCAGGTGGCCATGTTGCTTTTCTCTTGAGGCACGTAGGCAGAGCTTGACTGGTTTTTTAATCCTGAGGCTGTTTTTATGGTGGTAAGTGCAGACAAAAAAAGAGAGTTTCAAGGAGTTGAAGTATTGCCTACAATGTTGAGAATATTAGGCTGCATTTATAGGAAAGCCCACAAACAATGTTTGAATTAAAGGAAGTTATTAAAGTGATCCTTCAAGAAATGACTGAGAGCAGTGCTTTTCATACTTGCTCAAGTTAAGGTAAGGCATGCTATAGTCTATCTGACAAAACTAGCACTGTTTCTGGCAGTAATACTTCAGAGGGAGAAGAGATTCTGAAAGCAAAGATATTTTCTGACTGTTGTATTCTTGCATTTATAACCAAAACCATAAGTTGCACAATTACAAAACTTGGTGATGATAAAGCTAATAATGCCTTCCCTAACTGTTAACCATTAGGGTATGAATAAGAACTTGCTTTCTTTTAAAACCAGAAAGGAGAGCTGGTTTCTTCTGGTACTTGTGAGTTAAAGTAATCCTAGTTAAGTGTTTCAACTTAGCAAAAAGTGTATATTTTGGGCTTATTAGTTTTGCTTTCTGTTCTGCCAGCAAAGAAGAGCTTAAGAAATTCATTGGTACCTCCTTAGTAGCTTCCAGCTTTTTGTTTTCTTCTCCAGGTTTATGATACTCTCACCTAAGTTTCATTATCTGTGAAAGGTAATAAAAATTACTTGAACAGCTTCCTTTTCTTTAACTAGGTTTCCCAAGCTTATGGTTTCTTGTGATGGGGCTGTGTTCTATTCTTCCTCACTTATACTGTCACTCACTTCATGACCTCAATCCAAAACATATCCAGGAGCTCAAAGATACTGTCTAACTAGTAGTGCCAAGGTCTAGTGAAGGAGTCTGTTGTAATGTAACATGAATATATTAACTGAATAGCTCTGTACTGTGTTAAGTAAGGCAATAAAACTATAGTTTTATCATACCTGTAGTTTAGCAGAGTAAACATGAAGTCTTCCATTTAGGAAATAACAGAGATCAAATACAGTAGCGGTTGCCATTGGAGCTGCTGTCATGATGCTTCTGAAATGTGAAACAGCTACCTTATTATGCTCTTCTGCTTTATATTTATACTTTTTTTATTATTATTCTTGTGATATCTGAGCACTAAATGCTGTTAATGCCAGTAAGCTATTAAAAGCTGTTACAAACACCTGTTGCATGTGACTTATTATGTTCTGTATGTCAGGCACAAAAATATATTTTCCACTTTTTGGTGGGCTGATTTTTGTTTGTTTGTTTGTTTGTTTGCTGTTGGAGGGGTTTTTCTTAGACATCATCTATTTGAGAGTAACCTAATTCACTGTTTTGTATTTGTTATGTCTAGCAGATACTCTTTATAAAAACATTCAAGTGTAAAACGTTCCTAAGCCTGAAATAGGAGAAATCTCCACAGGAGCTGTAACCAGACTGGCTCTCATGTCCCTGGCACAGTAAGGAACAGTAGAGACAAGTGGAAATACCTCAGGATAGAAGGTATCACTTGTATAAGCATACTTTTTTGCTCAACAGGGTCTGAGAGACTACAGTGCTGACCAGCCAAAAGGCTGTGGTGCAGTGCTGATGCAGAAGTGTCCAATGATCTCTGAGACAGTTCAGGAGCATAATATATTTGCAGTGTGGAGTTGGGTATTTCTGGGAAGGGAATTGTCATTGAAGTGCAGTAACGTGGATTGTAAGAAGTTTTCATTGAGTCTCCCATAACCAAATCAAATGCAGCTTTCAGTGTCAGAGATAGTAAAGATAACAGCTTTACATGTATAAATAAAAGATCTGGGTTTATCTTGTAATTTTTGGAAGGTATTCATTGTCATTAACATTTAAGGACATTGTCTTGTACATTTAGTCTGTTAAGTAAGAGAGCACTGGGAACAGAAGGGTGGAGCAGCTGACAAGTGAAATTCTGTCTGTTTTGCTTCTCGAATAGCAGATCTCTTTAATACAGTCCATGTGTTCAGTCTTGCTTGCCTCTAGGTGGTAGAGTTTTCATACTGGGGGAAGTAATCATTTGCAAATAGCATTATTTCGCAATTCAGTACTAAGAGGTTTGTATAGGGTTAGCTAAAATGGACTCCTTGCCTTTGCGCTGGGAACAGAAAGCTGTAATATTGGGGGTTACTAGTTTTGATTTGATTTCAGTGCTCTCATTTACTCAATGATACAATCACCCCCTTTGTATATGCAGTTCATGCATGAATGGAAGTGTGAACAGGACCGAAAGCAGGTGTTTGTGTTACAGAGGGGAAAGTTACAACAATATTTATAGGCTATTAATTTATTAAAGTTATTTGAAGTTGTTTTGTAAGATAGAAAACAGTGAAGTCTAGCTTTATCTAGAAGACTGGTCTCAGCCCTGCTGCAAACCTGCACAATTAAATTCCAGATGTTCACAATTCATCAGTTGTTTCTTTTATTAATTTTTAGCTTATTCAGAGCTGATTCTGTCCATTTTGTAGTGCCTTATTCAAGCGTTAAAAATTAACTGGATATTCTCCATAAGCTTGTGTGTAATGGAATTATTTGGCATGGAAATTACTCCTCAGGATTGTGGAATTGGGTCCTTTGGTGCTATAGATGAGGAATCACACAGCTCACAGACTTCTTCCTGTAAACATTAGCACTGAATAAGCACGGCCAGCCAGTAAATGGATTTGATGTCTTTGCTTGTCCTGTACTGACTGTCCTGTCTGGAAATACATGGGGTGGGTGGTACTTTAGTTTGTTCTTTGTTGCCTCCTTTCTGTCTCCTTCAGCTTGCTCAGTGAATGTATGTGCCAGTGAACCTCTTCAGCCAACAACAATGTGGGAATTAGATGAGTAAAATTTTAACTGATACTAATGAGTACAACATGGATAAGGACTTTGTTAGAACCATGTAACTAACAGCATCGATTCCTCTTTCCTTCCTTTTCTTTTTTTTTTTTTTTTCCTAGAAGGGGGTAGTTGGTTTGGTCAGAAAATTGAGTAGAACTTATATTAAGTTATATATCATGTTGGAAATGAAGTATGTTTGTTCTACTCACAGAGATAAGTTTTTGTATGGATTGGATCAGGAGGACACGCACAGCTTTAAGAAAACAATAAATTCAGACTGTTCTTCTTTCAAGAATTAATATTTAATTTTCAAGTGAAAAATTGTTTCATTACTGGGGTGATGTCAGATATGACTCCATGTAGAATTTACAGCCTGATGGTATTTAGACAGAGCACCTGACCATGTGGATTTGTAAATTAAATATGTTAGACAGGAATCATCAAGGAAAAAAGTGATGGAGCCTCCTCAGGTCACTTATCCATTTGGTTTTCTGATAGAAACCGTAGTTCTAAGATACAGCTGGGTTCAAGAAGGGAAGAATAAGCCATCCTTCCTAAGAAGTAGCTTTCAGATTCTGAGAAGCACATCTACTTAACGATGAGAAAGAGAGGAATAATTCTCTACATTTAATGTAACTTCCCAGTATAAAATTACTTTTAAGGGATTGTTTGGAAAGCTGGTTAGCATTGCAGCATGTTATTTTTTAAAACCCCGTTCCTATGTGCTCTGATTTCCATGACACTATTCTTTAGGGACAGCACATTTGTTATAGGAGGCTGAATTGTTTCCTTTTGGAAATCCTTACAGGCTCTGAAACTCCCACTGGCTGCTGTCCAGAAAGAAAGATTTGTGGGTTCTGCCCAGTGTCTGCAAATGTGTGATGATATTTATATTCCTTGAGTTGTTTTTACTGTAGCTAGATCTGGTAAAGCACTTGTGGCTTTACTGCAACTAAAAGACTTGTGGTAAAGTCTGAGAACTTAGAAATCAAGTGTTGTGCTTGAAGAGATGTTCTGACTGCCACTGCATCCCTGGGGGGGAAGGAGGATCATTCTAGTTACACATCAGCTCTTTCAGAGAGGGGCAAGTCTTTAAAGAAAGAATTAAAACTTCAATTTTTTGGAAAGCATAATACTACCTAAGTGTGGACAAAAAGCAAAATATTGTCTCAACTGGGACTTCAGAAGTGATTCACAATTATTTTATTGATAGAGTCCTTAAAATCCAGTTCATTCTGCACAGCTGTACAGTTGTGTTGACTCAAAATTTCACAGGTGGGACTTCTGAAAGAAAAAGCTACCTTTTTCTTATTATATTTTTCTAAACTGGTGACAAGAAAGAGAAGGGCAGATGTCTCACTTCCATGTGTACTTTCATGTCTTCTTTCTCTTTTCCTCTGCAAGAAGCTTTCACTAAGGGGGGGGAGGGGGGCGGAAGACGAATGACAAAATCTCTTTGTTCTGGGAAGCATTTCCAAGCGTGAAAACAATACCCATGTAATGCTTTGATAGAAAATATTTGCTTAAATTGCCAGTAATTCACTTGATCTTGATCTTGAAGACATTAGAAATGTCTTCATACTGTTTACTACTTCTTTAATTGAATGGCTCTCCCAGATTTATCCATGTGGTGTTCCCTCTCTTCCCCTCTCCTCTTTCTGTAGCATAAAGAAACGATGGTCATGGCCCTTTGAAACTTTGTCACCTTTGAGTTTGAAAATCTACAAAGTAATTGGTAGATTAGCATACTGTGCAGGCTTGGCCTTGTTCCTGGCTTTGCTCTATGTTTTCTGTATAGTCTTAGGTGATAGCAGTGGCCAGTCTGTCTGCAGGTTTGCTAATTTCTGAAACAATACAGATGACTACCTTAATACCAGTGATTTCCATTTGTATTTGAAGTCAATCAAGTCTGTCTTTGAGATCCTTAAAAAGATGTTTGTATGTGGAAATAATTTGCTTTGAATATTCTCTTCTAAGTTACACTTTTTCAGTGGATCTATGGAATTACATTTGGAAATCATTTGTATTGGATGAGGCATATGTAGCATAAGACTTATTGGCTCAGTTCAGTATGTGTGACTATAATGGGCTGAAGATCCAAGTACCAGTGAAAGGATGTAGTAAATTTTTCTTGGAGCTGGCAAAAGTTACTATATTTGGAACTTTCAGAAACGGCTAGGTTGGTATACTGTAAAATATACTGCAGA